AATCCCTCACTGAACCCGACACGATTCGGATTCGGGTTGACCCGAACCCGAAATTTTTGGGTCGGTTCGGATCAGATTTTCGGATCGGGTCAAATATTGACACCCCTAATTTATATGTGGGCTTATGATGATAGTTAGAGTGATGGATTTGATGTATTTTAAAGTTTTTGATATTATAAAGTAAATAAAATACTTATGATATTAGGTATATAAATTGTGATGTTTTGGCACTCCAATATATACTTCTATATAGGGTCTCAATGCTCTTGTTAGAACTATACAACTCTCTGGTTCGTCGAGGTCTATAAAATGCTCCATATGCCAGTTAGTCCTTCAATAGCAAAGCGATCGAATTCTTTCACGGCCCTGCAAAGCGATCACATTCTTTTCCGGTTGAGCTGGCAGTTTTTGGAAGACTCAACTTAGGGGTGTAAACGAGTTGAGTCGAGTCGAATATCTACCTTATCAAACTTGGCTCGTTTAACCCTTAATTAGCTCAGGGGCCGTTAAAAAAGGAGTTTAAATTTGAAACCCGTAATATTTATAAAATAACGGTTCATATTTGTTTAGCTTTGAAAATAATATTTCTAAAATTTCGGATCGGAGCGGTTAAAATATGAAACGATCAGGATGAGATTTCTCTATAATTTCGGAATATCAGCTCAACGATACGCCTTGAATCCCAAGCTTTCTTTTATATAAGAGATGACCGGACCCAGCAAATCCCATACAAAAATCTGCCGAAATAACTCGAATTCTCCTTAGGAAGTATTCACCATTTGGAAGCGTGGATTTGGAAGCGCGGCGCCGTTGCAAACGCCCAGTCTCATCGATTAGGCGTTCCATTTTGATCAACACGTCGGAGACTACTAGGTACACTAAGATGACAGAAGAGAGAAAAATTATTATGTGAGGACATCGAATGCAGATCATCGCTTGGAGACCAGCCAGAATGTGCCACATCAGCAGTACCGAGCACGATACTGAACAGTACTGAGCGGAGGTGACGTGGTGCATTCTAGTTGATTTTTGAACGGCATTCGGCGTCTGCACATAATAATTTTCCCAGATGAGATGGGCATAACAGCCTTGCCATCCTGCACAGGAACTTCTGGTTGAGCAGTTTGTGAAGGGGTCAAGTAGCAAATCTAGATTAATTATTTTGTGGGATACCGGACGCCGTCCGGAGGCAAATCAGAGCACGTCACGTTACCTCCTTGCTATGTACCGCGGCTGTATAGCCACTGTGTACCGGGTGACATGACACACTCTGATTTGCCTTCGGACACAGAGCTACGTCCGATGTATGCACAGAATAATTTCTCGTGAATTTGGAGTACATTTTTATTATTTTGAACAAGGAATATAATTTAGATAAAAATCTCATCTTAATCTTGTTGTTTATACTTTATACAAGCTGTGTGTTTATGAATAATTATCTTGCATATTTGATGAAATTTTTTATGATAAGCATCTGGTTTTTTTTTCCTGCTAAAAGTCTTTTTTAGGCTTGTATATATTAGCATAAATGATGAAATGAATCACTGAAAGAATTCTTTTCAGAACATTTAGAGGGCCAAGTATTTTTCATTAGATCCCAGCTCTTCTCTTTAGGAAATACCGGTGATATATTTTGATAGTACAAATTTCTCATTGTGTTGTTCATCTCATTAAGCTCTCTAAAATTTATTATATTTTTTGTGCAACAACTACTACAAAAGATCTACTTTTGATCATCTTAGAAGCTGCCCTAGTTAGTGAATTTGAAATATGCATTACTTTTTACAAAGAGATGTGTGAGAGCAATTTCGTGTACAGAGAAAGTACTTTGCCTTGCAAACCGAGGGTGTGAATTAATGCATGATGGAAATCCTACACAAACTTTTGCTTCCAAATATGACAATAGATAGTGCATTATCATAATGAATTAACTAAGTAGAAGGCTGATCATAATGCGAAGATTTATTATCCTTCAAGGGGAGTTGTAGGATGCGGTAATATTGTCTTGAAATTAAGATTTAGTTTGGGATGATTTTTTCACTGCTTCTTAAAACAATTTTTTAGTACTAAAATTAAAAATTTTGTACTAAAAAGCTGCTTTAAAAAACATTAATATTGACGATAGAATTTTGCAATAGTCGCTCCACCATAAATACAAAAAAAACTTTACGCATAATAGGATTTAATGAGATGAATAACATAACGAAGAACTTTTACCACCAAATGGCCTTGTATTTTTCACAAGTGGACTTCTCTATCATCAACTCAAATAATTTCAGACGTGATAATAACAAGCAAAATTTGGTAAGAAAAATCTTTGAAAAATTTACATATTCTATCAAAAGTCAATAAAATGATGCACCTTAAATGCTTGCCTTAATTTTATTTTATTTTTCAATATCTTGCTCATGATTTAAGCTGTTTTCAATTTTATGAAGTTTATCAAAATCTATGCAATGAGTTTGAAACTCAGCAAACATAAGATAGATATCAATCAGTGAATCTTATGGATAAACATTGTTTCATTGAACCTATAGATCATCCCTTGAAACATATAATTACATGGTAATATTAATATAGTTTTTATTTTATAATGTGAATATGTGCCAAGTCATATTTATGGATCCTATCAAATGCAAAAATGATCAACTTGCTAGTACTCGAACATTCTTTTATGGATGCATCTTAGCTTAAGAGCTGTTTGGTTGGCGGTGGTGGCTTGTGGTTGGTGAGGGTGATGGTGGTGATGAACGGTGACTAGAGGCGGATGGTAATGGAGGCTACCAGTGAATTTTTTATTATATGTTTGGCTACATAAACATTAGATTTATTCTTATTTAATGAATATATTAGTAGATGATGAAGATGATTATGTATTTAATACATATTTTTTGCTTACTATCAAGTGTCAAATTATGACAATTTTATTATGGGCTTTTGCAAAATAATCAAAAGGAAATTTGTCTATTTACATCTTTGAATTTGTTTTACTAATTATATATTGATTTGTGTGTGTGTGTGCATATATATATATATATATATATATATATATCAATGTTTGCAGCGGTCGAGAAATATAAAGTTTTGCGTCTTAGCGGCACACATTCAAATAAGAGATAGGGTGTAGTATTTATAAGAGACACCAAAACTTTTACGTGAAAAACCATGAAAAGGGGAAAAACCACGGGGCCTAGCCCAATTTGAATGAATCTACTAGTATTTACAGTTGATTACAAACGAGGCCCTTCGTTGGATGGAAGGCTTTGGCTTGATGTAACAAATATACATCATACAAAATGCATTACATGGTGGAAATAGAAAGAATAAATATTGACATGTTTTCTTAATTGGCAAGACCATAGTAGGCGGGCGATAGAGGTCCAAAAGACTGTTGTCTAGCGATGGAGGTCAGAAGGATCGTAATCGACAAAGGAGGTCAAAAGAATCATAGTCGGCGGACGATGGAGGTTAGAAAAAAATTGTTGTTGACAGGCGACTGAGGTCAGAAAGACCATTATCTAGCGACGAAGGTCGGAAGGATAATAGACAGGTAGAAGTACGACGTCGGGTAGAAATCTGACGACGGGCGGAAGTTCGGCATCGAATGGAAGTCTAATGAACGTCCAATGACAGGTGGAAGTTTGGTGTCAGGTAGAAGTCCGATGATGGGCTAAAGTCCAATTACGGGCGAAAGTTCGGCATTGGGTAGAAGTTCGACGAAAGTCTGGCGACAGGCGAAAGTTCGACGAAAGTCCAGCAATGAGCAAAAGTCTGACGACATGCGAAAGTCTGATATCGAGTAGAAATCCGACGACAGGCGGAAGTTTGGCATTGGGTAAAAGTTCGATGACGTGCATAAGTCTGGTAACGGGCAGAAGTCTGGTAACAGGCGGAAGTTCGGCGTCAAGTAGAACTCCGACGAAAGTCAGGCGACGTACGTATGTCCGATGTTGGGTAGAAATCCAATAACGGGAGGAAGTTTGACGTTGTGTAGAAGTCTGACAACAAGCGGAAGTCCAATGTTTGATAGAAGTCCGGGCAATTCACAAAGATATTACATTGAAAACTCCTTAAAGGGGGAAAAATCATGTAAAAATCTTGATGTCTCTTATAAATGATGCACCTATTATTTTTATTTGATTGCATCCTGAATCTTTTTACAAAGCTAAGACGTTAAAATTTATATTTCTCTACCGCCGTGAATACTCAAGGACGTAACAGTTTGACGTCGTATGTAAGAATGTGGTTCTCAATTGGGTGGCAAATTTCTGCTCCAACCTAAAAAAAAAATTAATTTATTGTTAGAAGTACAAATTCTTAAAATTTTTAAAAAGTATGATTTGAAATGAAATAATTTAGTCAAATAAATGGATCAAGTTTGAGCGATCTAAAAGAGTTGGAGTGCTCAATCCGAGCTCGAGCTTTATAAACTCGAGCCCTACTGCATGTTCTCACTGTTACGTGAGCGCCAAGAAAACAGGTACACCCACGATCGAGTATTTCCGAAGCAAAACGATTGGAAACTTTCGCGATCTCTGCATCCCGTCGTCGAAGGAGGTAGATAGCTTTTATGTTCTCCTTTTCTTCTTTCTATCTTTAGGGGCGGTTTGGTAGCACCCAGGATTTTATTTAAGGATTTCATAAATCCTCTAAGTTTGAATTTACGAAATCCTGAGGGGATTAAATCCTGAAAACTGTTTGACAACATTTATGATAAATCTTATGTAATTGTTTGGCTATTCAATTAATGATTCAAGGTGGTTAAAATGTTGACATGCATTTCTTGGATAATTAAAGCATTTAAGATGTTTAAAATATTTAAGGGGGTTAATTATTATTTATAATATTTTATAGCAATTATTTTCATTTAAAATCATATTTAATTCTATTAATTATTTTGAAATAATCAAGTATTTAACTAATAATTTTAGTAATAATTTAATTAGTATTACTTAATGTTTAATATTTTAAATTATATTACTTAAGTTCTCCAACAATAACTTGGAGTCTAGGTTTTGCCTTCTCTTCTCTATTTCTTTCGGCTTCGTTCCTTCACAGGAGTGTAAAGTTTTGCACGAGTTCTTCTTTGTCGCTGTTCGACTTCGCTCCTTCGACGACGAGCGGTGATCCGAAACAACGGGAGCTCGCATGCTGTGAAGGTAACTTTCTCCCTTTCGCGCGCTTCTTCGGCCAAATCCCGTAAATCCGCCGAACCAAAGGATTTCGTAAATCCGGGATTTACCACGAAAAGAGGGAATTTCCGTCAACCGCGGCTTTGATTTACCGTGAGATTTGGTTATGCATTTTTTGCCGTTTGGCTGGATTTAGTTCAAATCCGGTCTAAATCCTGCATCCAAACAGCCCCTTAAAGTCTCGATACATTTTCTTATGTGCTGATCCTCGATATGTTCCTCTCTTACCTGCATTAACATTTTCAAACGCTAAACTCTCTGTTTGTCAGGCTGTGAACACACAATACGCATCAAAGACTAAAGATCAAAGATGTCCCGCCGATACGACAGCCGGACGACGATTTTCTCTCCCGAGGGGCGACTCTACCAGGTGGAGTATGCAATGGAGGCCATCGGCAATGCCGGCTCGGCTATCGGTATACTTGCCACGGACGGGGTCGTCCTCGTTGGAGAGAAGAAGGTAACCTCTAAGCTCCTCCAGACCTCGAAATCCACCGAGAAGATGTACAAGATAGACGACCATCTGGCTTGTGCTGTCGCTGGCATCATGTCTGACGCCAACATCCTTATCAACACTGCTCGCGTCCAGGCCCAGCGCTACACATTCGCATATCAGGAACCCATGCCAGTCGAACAGCTCGTGCAGTCCCTCTGCGACACCAAACAAGGCTACACCCAGTTTGGTGGCCTCCGCCCTTTTGGCGTCTCCTTCCTCTTTGCGGGTTGGGACTCCAACTTCGGCTTCCAGCTCTACATGAGTGATCCCAGTGGGAATTACAGTGGTTGGAAGGCGGCCGCAATTGGGGCCAACAACCAGGCTGCACAGTCCATGCTGAAGCAGGACTATAAGGAGGATGTTGATAGAGAGGAGGCAGTCCAGCTTGCACTGAAGGTGCTTAGCAAGACTATGGATAGTACCAGCCTTACAGCGGATAAGCTTGAGCTGGCAGAGATTTTCTTGCTCCCTTCTGGGGAGGTGAAGTACCAGGTTTGTTCTTCGGAAGGGCTCACCAAGCTGCTTGTGAAGTCTGGAGTCACCCAGCCTTCTGCTGAGTCCGCATAGCGCTGCTCATCATGGTATGCTGTTCCTAGTTTTGCATCATATCAAGTGGTATCTAGCCTTTAACATTGCAAAATATGGACTCATTTTAGGATTTATTTGATAAGAAAGCTAAGTTGATCTTTAGTTTTTCCAATTTGTTTGGAAAATTTTTCATAATTTACAGCTCTATCAGCATGGCTTCCCTGTGTTTGTTAGGTTCTATGAGAAGAAGGATTTCCCTTGCTATTTATTATTCAAGCGGAAAATTTTTGATTTCTAGTTGAGGAACTCCTCATTGCCATACCATGGTTAATAATTTACATATTGGCATTTGATTAATCTACATGGGGATTACAGAAACGCTGTTACTTAAAGGACTTACAAGAATTACCATTCCTTCCATTTTTTGCTGGTTGCTTCAGACTATTGTTGAATCCTATGCAACATGAACTCATTGCAATATCTTAGAGGTAAATATGGAGGAGTTGGAAAAGTTGATATATAAGGCTTATATCTATGAATATTCTTGTATATATATGCGTTGATATCTACAAAGACTTGCACACACATATGGTACCATTAGAAGGATAAAGAGTTGACTGATGCATGAGTTTCTTGCTGGACTTTGATCTGGAATGTTTAAAAGTAGAAAAGTACTTAATGCAAAGCTAAATATATTCTCAATATGGAGATAATTCTTAAGTAATGCTTTTTTTTAAGTTAAGAATTTTATCTTAGAGTTTCAATTTAGTTAATGTAGTAGAGCACTATTCTTGACAGAATGTGTTTCATCAGTCATCACCAAGCATATTCCAACAATGTCATGGTTTTATTTAGATATCCTATCGAATTGGGTTGGGGTGTCAATATATCAATAGGTAAGTTTTTATCTTAGTCTGTTTTGATAGAACCTTTTAATTCTAGAACATTTCATAAGAAATTGAGAATAACATTTATGCAACCTTAATCATGCATTGCATTTATGTGACCAACATTTCCCAACATGCTAATAAATGGGTCGCTTCCAATGCTCCATGATTAATTAAGAGGATTAAAGGAGGCATGCATCTCCTGTGATATATTGGTGGTGTTTGATTTGGTTGGTTGAGTTAAACAGAATTATAAAGATATATAGAGATGCAAAATTTATACCAAGAAGCTAGGAGTGATTTAGTGATTGGTGATGAAGAAATTTAATGAAAATCATAAGAGGATAATTATAACATGGACCTCTTGCATTCTAGAGGATGAGTAGGTGTTTGGCAACCAGGAAATACTACTAACATTGAACAATCATAAGATAGGCAATTATTCTTTTGGAATGAAGAATAGGAGTTATGTAATTGTTGCAGGCTGAGCGAACTTCATTTGGGCCAATGTTAGTGATCATATGGTGAGTAGATTGATTGAACTAATCATGATGCCCATGCTAGCAGGCTATTTGTTGGCATCACACTTGAAAATATTTGGTTATGAGATGCAAATTCCCAAACATGTCATTTATTTTATGAAAAATCCTCTATAGCTTAAGTGAAGGTTAGGAAATCCTTATTCAATTCATTAATAGAAATAGAGTAAGGAGGAGCCAAGGAACTCTATAAGATATTCATTTAAGAACATTATCTCCTAAAAAAATTAAAACTTCAAGTATTTTAGGAAGCAAATCTTGGATGATCCTAAAGATGTGTATTCTTATAATGCGTATGTTAGGTAATTATTTTGTAGGCTTATATCATCATCCATATTTACATGAGTAAACTAAACTCAAGTTAACACTGAATAAGTAGGCATGGTACATGTAATTCATGCTGAAGAAGTTAGAACTAAGATCTATTTAGCATGAAAACCTTGACATGGACTTACGTTGTGTGTTATATTGCAGAAACACATTCACATAAAAATTGCATTTTAGCTTCAGGTTTGGTTTAATAAATTATAACCAAATAATTCAGAATAGCCTTCAAGATTGAAGCACATTGGCGAATGGAATCCTAGGATATGCCTACCTGTGTGTTATCAAAATGACGCTTCAAAATACAAATACAGGTAATCATAGCATTCCCTTGTACAAATAGACTAGGAGCTTAGAGTAGAATATGAGGGAGAATTACAAATGGCAAGTGAAGATGTCCAAATCGTTGATAAAAGCAACATGAATGAGTAGTTATGACATGGAGTGGATTACAAAGAGCAACATGAAATCAGACTCTGGACTCAAATTCTAAAAGATGAATACTTTGACTTGCTCGACCTAACAATTTCCAAAACTCAACTTGGGTGAAAAGCCATGATGATGGCACAACTTTCAAAGAAACAAAAATTGACAACAACTCAGCCACTTGATTTACTTCCTTGTAAACATGATGAATCTTGTAATTTAAACATCCCAATAGAGCCGTAAGTCTTCCTAATAGATAGAAATATCAAATATCCCATTGGCACATTCCTAGATTAGTCAACTACTTTAGAACCATACATGTGTCAACCTTATTGATAATTTGGTGACGATTGGCTTATATGTACAATTCCAAGCCATCAACCACATATGTTTATCTTACATTGCTATCATAAGACCCAAGAATAATATAAATATATATGGACTTGATCTTGATGCTTCATAACAAGTCCACCACAAATAGCATCAACAATAGCCAGCTTAAACAATTATTAGAGCTAAGTTTAACAAAATTAACCATAACTTCGGTGAGTTTGGTCATATATGTCAATAGCGTCGAATAGCATATGCAATGGTGCATAGCGCGGTGTTGTAGACTTCTTGTACCATTTGTATGGTGAGACGTGAGGGATTAAAATGTCATGTGCTATTTGAGCCATGCTCTGGCAATAGCGCATAACCCCCCCATAATGGGTACTATTTTAATTTTTATGATTTAGGGTTTAAATTTAGTATTAGCATGATTAATAATTTGTTTAGTAGCTTTATATTATTTTGATTTATATTTTATTAGGGCGTAATATCGACTCTTGATTTTGACACTCACTTGATGATTCTCTTAATTTTGTCTCTCTCCTTTGATGTACATGCACACAAGGTCTCTCTCCTTCAATGCACGTGAGGTTCTTGGTTTCGCCTCTTGCCTTTGACACACACACGTGCAGGGTCTCTTTACCTTCAACAAATGCGAGGGCACTTAGTTTTGGTGCGTGAACAATGTTTCTCTTGACTTAATCACATGAAGGTTCTAATACTTTGACTAAGGAGAAGGGAGTTTTAGGCTTAAACATTCTCGTGTGAATGCTTCAGCGTTGTTGGCACTATGTCTTCGACACATGAACCTTCCAAGGTTTTGAATCTCTGCTAGCATGTTCTAGGCACAAGGTTTGCTCACTATTTATAGTTGTCCTTTGTTTGTTGTCTTATAAATTAAAAAAAAAATCATGCAAAACTATAATAATTTTGTCTTATTACTATTTTGAGAATGTATAACTTATAACTTGAGTTAAATTGTAAAAAAGTTCCAAGCTAAAATTTATCTTTACAAATTAGTTTTTGATGTAGTGATAATCTATTATACATCTCTTATAAATGCAAGGCTTTAAAATATTTTTTGTTATGCAATTATTATTTTTTAGCAGTTTCATCAATTAGATACACAAGATAATGTTGAACTCAGGTCAAACTACAAGGAAAGTTGCAACATGAAAATATGCAATTTTGGCAAAAAGTGATGGTAATTGCATGATTTTGTGATAAAATGACAAAAAGAGGAATTACTCGTTACAAACAATATTTGGTTTTAGGAATGCAGAAACTTGTATTAACTGCCCTTAACATGTTAAAGATGAAATGCATGGGTCTTTGAAGAAGAACAAATAGTTGAAACTTGAAAGACAAAATTAGTGGATGTCACATTTTTATATTGCTGAATGTGATATTTTGATGTGATGGTGTAAGATTATATTTTATGTGTTGGACCATCAAAAAGATACCATACAGAAAAATTAAATATGTTGACTTAAAGTTCAATGGCTTATATTTAAAGAACCAAAGGCTAAGGGTTGTTCAGTTGTTGATGTCTTTTTTTATCCTGAATTGTGCTGAGATTTTGAAGTAACGATAGGGTAAAGTGCAAAAAGAGATGGATACTAATAGGAAGGAGATGAGGGAAAGAATAATTCAAGTATTTTGTTTTTGGATATATGATGTTACCATTCCCGTCAATGTAGTTAAGTATGATGTCTTCCTAATTGTAGTAGAAATATATGGACAATTTGTTCCTGAAATGAAACTGCCTCGCTATCATGAGGTGTGCTGCATACTTAAAAAAGAGATACAATGCACACATCAATTTTTTGCATCGTCATAAAAATATTGTTTTAAATATGATTATTATCTTATGGAGGATGGTTGGACATCCCATAATGACAAAAAGAAATTATGAAACTTTTTGGTGAATTGTCCAAGAGGAATAGTAGTGAGTTGATTGATGCTATCGCTTATTTAAAGAATGCGTTAAAGATATTTGAATTGTTGATCAAGGAGATTGAACCATCATTGTATCATTTAAATGTTCAATGATAATGCCTTAGAGAAAAAAAATGCCTTAGAGAATGTTCTAGCAGGTTAGTAAATCCCTAATAATTTCACCCATTTTTTGATCATTTTTTAGTAATTTTTTGTGATGTTATTGTAGGAAAGTTGTTAATGGATATGTGCACTAATAACAGACTCAATGAGCCACTCTTTATTTGGATTTTATAGTTTCATTTATTCAATATTACAATTACTTATGAGGAGATCAGAAGATCACTTGTCAAATTTACTAAGATTTAGTTTGCCATTATCTTCTTAACATCAAAAAGTTTTCATCAACAACAAATGAATTTGAAGAAATGAAGAATTTGTGTTGTGTCCTTATTCAAAGAAGACGAAGGCAAAGCAAGTGCAATAAATCATCTTACTACCTCAAAGCAATCCTTTTGGAATAATGTGGTATATGCACTTAAATTAGATGACCTTTATCAAAGATTCTTTGATTAGTGATATTGAAAAATGCCTCTGTTGGTTTACATA